TTCTTACCTATCTAATAATATAAAATTTATATGAAATTAATATGTAAATTATCGAAATATACTTATTTAAAAATGAGATATTTAATCGCAAAATTATTGTTGGTCAGTCATTTTTGCTAGGTGAGTATACCTATAATTTTATTATTAAATATAAATAATTCTTTTATAGTATATTTACTTATATATCATCTAATATCACCTTAGAAATTCATAAATTTGTATTTGCATTTTCTGAAGAAATTTATTTTAAAATTCTTTTTAAAATATTTGTAAAATATCCTTATCTATATAGTCATATTACTTTATAGATAAATACAATATAGGATTTTAATTATATCAAAAAATAAAATAAATTCTTTTATTTTTTTCAATATTATAAATTTGATAATTATTAGTAATAGCTTATTGGGTAAAAAAAATAACTTAAAGTTTAATAACTTTACTATATTGTTCTTTTATATACTTTATAATTTTTATTCATATTTTTTCTAAACAGAAAAATATGTAATAAATTATTATACAAATTTTTTTAAATTTTTTTGTATTCAAATTAGATGTTACAAAATATTATGATGTAAATACAAATTTTCTATTATGATCAAATTTTATAAAAGATAGTAAAAAAAACTTATACATAATTTTTTTTAAAAAAAGCTATAAAAAACATACAAATTTTTATAGTGATATAATTTTAATGTTTTTAGATTTTGGCAAAAGGTATTATATATTATATTTATTTTTTTATTATATATTCATAAATAATTTTAAATGTAAACTAAAGGTTTTTATTAAGTAAAGTAAATTAACATCAATGTTAAATTAATAATATCAAATTAATTAGTGTTTTCTCAATGTTAATGCTCTATTCTTTTACAATATCTATTAATTAAACTAAATTAATAAAACTTTAATTAATTAGAATTTTAAGATGTATATATGTAATTATAAAAAGGATGAATATGATATAATGCAGAATCTTTATAATAGAAATTTTGCTATAGTAAAAATGTAACAAATTTAAATGTAAAAAAAATTTATTATATATAAAAATGAAAATTTAATCTATAAAATAAATAAATCATGACTTGTGCTTTAAGAATCTTGGATTAGAATTTTAATATCTTCAATATTAATAAAGTTATACTAGGTTAAATTTATCCAAAATTAATTATAAAAACTAAAATTGAAAAAAAATATATGATGATAAATTTATAAGAATGATTCTTTTATCATTGTATATTTTAACTTAAATATTATTGTAAATTGAATTATATAAAGATGTATTAGAGTACAGCAAAAGAAATATATAAGAATATTGCAATTACACATAGGTTAGATTAATAATGAATTATTTCTAAAACATTAGATTCAGTTTCTTTAATTACAATTCAAAAATATGCACAAAAATCATAGCATTATATAAATATTTATAGAAAAGGTATTACTAGAAAAATGGTAGAGTTTGCAGTTAAAAATATAAGTGTAACTGATGCAATTTATAATGAAATAATTAAATAAAATAAAATAAATTGTTTCATATGATTTTAATTCTAGTTTCTGATTGGCTCATATATATGTTACACAATGCTTACATAATTTACAAAATTGAAAAAAAAATTTATTTTTATAAATCGATTCATTTTTACAAATATAAATCAATTTTTATTTATTTGATTAAAATCTAATCAGTGGATTAAATTTTATTAAAATTTCCTATTATAGAGGTTTTGCACTGTATGTTGGTATTTATAAAAAATAATTGTTAAGCCCTGCCATTTTTGTCAAAATGATCTTCAAAGGACTAACTGCAAATATCGAAAACTTGCGAAATTATGGTGTTTCTGGGCGGAGTTATATTTAACGTAACAATATCAAAAATGAAGGATATTGTTTACCAAGTGAAATAAATTCTTTCAACTAAATAATTAAATACTAAATGAAAGTTAATTTTATTAATATAATTATTAAATGAAACAATTGTCAAAGAGCCGACTTATCATTTAATTTGGCTATTGGTCACGACAAACTCTGGCCAAATGACACTTGCAAAATGAAAGATTAATTTTCAATTTATTATGATATATAATATTAAAATTTTTCATATACGATATTATATAATAAGAAAAGCAAAATCTATTTATGGTTATTTTGGTCAAATGATTCTACGGTCCATTTCTAACAATATTTTCAATGCTTTCGGCCCTCCACTATTTTTTTTTTTTTTTTTTTTTTTTTTTTTTTAAATAAAAAAATATATTTTTTTTTTTTTAATAAATTCAGGAAATAATTAATTTGAACTATATTAATAGTTTCATAAATTTACTTTTATTTTTATACCTTATCGTTTTCCTCATGTCCTGGTCCATAACACGTTACTTCTTGTTTATCATCGTCTAGCATTATTTTATGGCTGTGAAGAGTAGCTCCAGTTTGAATATGCCTTAAAGTAATTATATCGCCAATTAGCCAATATCCAGAATTATCGTAATTGTTAGTGTAGCTGTGTCGTTGAACATGCCAGTTATCGTTCAAATCACTGACACGTTGATCACCTTGACAAATTACTAAAAGAAATTTGAAGGTTTGAAGGAAAATAATAAATCAAAAGTTCTGACGCACTAAATGATTCTTTTTCTTACCTTGTTGATTACTAATTGGAGCATTATAGTCTGGATGTGAGCGTAGAAAACGTTGTGATTTTATATGCTTGAGTCGTATTTGAGTGTTAAACGGAACCACCTCTCCCACTTTCGACCGTCGTTCGCCGTAAGCTTGAATAACCGTCCACAATTCATTTTCTGATTTTAACCGAGATGCAAATATCTATCGGGATGGGGAGGAGGGGGGAAAGGGGTGAAAGAAAAAGGAAGGATAAGGGACATTTGATATTTTTGTTTACTCTCTAATTATAGATTTGACTTCAAAGGATTACATCGACACTAGGTTATGGTTCGTAATTTCAATGTTATTTTCCTACCCCAAAATTCTGAAATCCAATTTATCAAATGAAATTAATGAAATTACAATCCTATTTAAATTGTGTCTAATTTATTTATTTATTTTTTTTTTTTTGATTTTTGAACCACATTATATAGTTTACATTTAGCTTCAGACAAACCTGAGCTTTGTATTCATTATTAGTTGATGTCTCGTTATTGTTAGGTGATCCACTTAAATATCTTGACGTGGTTATATGTCGAAGGACAACATAAGAACCAAATCTAATATGTTCGTCAGCTGTTACATTCTGTTGCTGAAAATGTGAATTATTTTGCGATTGTAATGATGATTCTTGAGTTGTAATAATGGGCCAGTTCAACGTTTGTCTTTCTTCAGAGTCTGTGCCACTTTCATTCCCTATAGTTTCCATTTCGTGTTGATATTTAAATCACTTAGACTATTAAAAACAATCGATAAAAATAAAAAGTTTAGATTATTTTTCACTTCATAGTATAAAAGAACATGACGAAATAAAATAAAAAAAATTTTTTGAATTGTACGGACGCGAACAGGTTCTATGAATTAATAAACAACCGTAAAGATCTTAGTGTTGCTACACAAAATGATGTCATGCATGTAAACACTGATTATGATGTAAACTTGCATACTTGACAAAAAAAATGGGTGTTTATGATATTACACCGCACCGAATTCACACAAGGGTCAAGCATATTTATGCATATAATGACAACATGTTTTTTTTTTTTCAAAGTCAATCGTCATTTTGTCTGAAAACCGGTTTAAATTTTTTTTTATCGATTATCTCCGATTGGAAAATACACTTAGTTATTGGAGCGGAAAACCTCGTATGGTAGCTCGGTTCTATGGGGAGAAGTTTCTACCAAATATGGTATATCCCCATAAATATGATTATCCTGCAATAGATATAAACCTAGAAACTGTTATCGACCAATCAACGCAGATCATTTCGGAATATTTAGGAAAAATATTGATATAATAGATTTTTAAAAATCTTTTTATAATGTTTATTAAAAAAAAAAAAAGTTAGATAAATTAAAAGCTTTTGATAATTATCTTTTTTAAAATATTAAAAGAAAATTTTAGTATTTTATCATTATTATATTATGATTAATATTTTATTGATTTATTTTAATAGAAATATCATCATACTATTTAATTATTATAATTAAATTTAACATATTAAATCTTTTTTAATAGATTTATTTTTAATTGATTTTATTTTAAATCATAAGTATATTTATACTTGTAATTTCTTATTTACTATGAATAATAGTATAAAACTCTTTTGAAAAAATTTACTAATAAATTTATTTCTAATTTTAATAATTAATTTATATTTTTATTTAATTATTTAACTATAATAATTCTAATATCTTAATTATTATTAATTTATTAAAAATCTTATTTTGTCTAGAGCAAAGCATAGGATATTATACTTTTAGGAAATAGTGTGAAAATTTTATAATCACATGAGTATTTTTATTTGTCACTTCACGTTGTTAACGTTACTCTTTCCGTCAAATAAGTTAACTATGATTTGAAGTCAGGAAAATAATAGCTATAACTTAAATTCAATCAACTTGATACACTGTTTATTAGAGAGTTTATTTAGTTAACAAAAATAAAATTATAAGTTTTATGTTTGTAAAATGTTAATATTATTTATTATTGTTATTAAATATATATTGAATACAATATTCATATCTTGTTTGAATCTGTCCTTTTTTCAAGGAATTTTCATGCCCTTTATATAGGAAAATTACAATTAAAGAAAATCTATAATAATTATGATACTACTGACAATAATAACAGAGCTAACAGATATGCTAATTATGTTAAATATAATATAAATGATAATAACAATAGATATAATAAAGATATAATAAATAATCATAATAATAGAAATGATATAAATTATAAATATATCCTATTTGGCATATATATCATATTCGACAGGTCTATTAGTTTCTGCCAGTTTCAATTTTCTCCTCTAAATTTTGGTCTTCAGACTAAATAAATATTACTTCTTCTATTAAAGATTAATAATTTTTCTTTTTTATTGAACATATTTCAGAAAGATTTAAGTATCGAGTATGTTGAATTTGTTCTGATTCCAGAAATTTAAAATGAAATAAATTCATATTGATGCAGTATAATAATGCTTGGTTATCATACTTTTAAAGTAGATATATTGAGATGAAGAAAAAGTTTCTTTTTCTAATAACTATTTTAGATAATAAGCATTTATCATCATTAATATTCGATCTCTAAGGATTAAGGCTTATCTTAACATACGATAAGTTATTTCAATCTTTCTTTTCAACTTTATGTTATCTGTATAAGAGAATATAGTAGGGATAAGATTATTGAAAATTCTTTTTTTCAAATCACTTTTGAAATCTTCTAAGGACATAGTAAAAAAAAAATAATAATAAAAAATAAATAATAAAGGAATAAGTAAACTATGAATGCGTTTACAAATTCATTTGGATTGGATTGAGTCGACATCTTAATTCAATCTAAATTCACAAATTAAAAATCTGATTTAGATTAGATCGAGTTGATCCAATTGATTGGATTAGATTGGATTTTACTATTAAATTTCCAATCTAGGGTAAAACTACGATTAACAATACTATGCTTGCACTTTACCACCACGATCACTACTGTTATAATAATTACCTAACCATATGTTAACGTCACGTTAAGTTATCAATTAAGAAAATGAATTTGTATTATGGTAATCTTTCGATACCTTGTGAGCTTGATCTAGCAACAAACTTGAATTAATCTAAAAAAGTATTTATTTTTTTTTGTATAAGATTGACTCGGAGAAATTTGTTAAAAATATTCTGATTGGATTATTGAATTTGTACCACTTAACATTAATGAACTTCTTGGTATAAATACTGAGTTTTTCATCAAAATTCTAAAATCCCGGTACCTTTTTTTATATAATAATATACATAATGAAATATAAATAAAATATGAAGTAGTATAACCCTTTCCTATCTTATTACTAGGATAAGAATCCCTTAATATAAAAGTATATCCGCTTAGATATCAGTCAAACGGTTTAAAAAAAAAATACGATTTTACCGCGGACTTTCCAATTATCTAACAGTTGATAAAATAAGCATTATTATTACTACATTATCTTGCCAAATATGCTTCTAAGATCGACATAGTTAGCATTATATTCAATTTCACTTTTTTTTTAATCTTATCGTTATTTTTTGTTGCAGTTTAACAATAAAGAATAGAAGGAACTTCTAACAAAAAAGAGACCTCTATTAAACCAGATAATAATAATAAAAAAAAGGTTCAGTGAAGTGAAGATTCTATTAAAATGTTACTTTCATTTTTAATAGAACGGAAAGTTGA